AAAAAAGGAAAACTTCACCTCATCACGACTTTTAGGCCAGGGAACTGGAGTTCTATAACCTTTAGGAGCTGGGATCAAACAATCCAAGCCCTTCCCTTCTTGAGGACAATGCCGCTCGAATCTTTCCCCATTCTTAGTAGAATTCAACCTCTTAATTGCCTCCTCGTTATCTAAACAAGGTATATGCTCCCTCATACTCTCCAGACACAGCGGAAACTTGTTAACCCTAACCTTAATCTTATCACCTTTCCCATCAATCTCCAAACCCTCACTCATGTTCGTTTTCGACCAATTGTCGACCAGTTCAGGATCATAGTCACCCACCTCGAAATCATCCGTCATCCTTCCATTCTCGTCCACCACCCCCATCCTCTGCAGCGCGGGAGGAGGCGGTGGAGGTGGAGCGGCCACGGCCTGTTGCGGCTCATTCCGGCCGATCTGGTCGGGCGGTTGTGGCGCGGCCGTATCATTAATGAGAGAGGAGATATCGAAGTTCTTGTTGTGATTGGGAGAGAGGGCCACGGAGGCGGAGGAAGACGACGCCGTTTGGGGTTGGGAGGAGAAAAACAGGAGCTGCTGGGAGGATCCGTCCGAGAAATGCTTGCCCAAGTAGAAGAAAATGAGTGAAATTAGTAAGAATCCGGAGATTTTGATGAGGGTGGCGGATTTGCTGCCAGCCCCATACATCGTCATAAAATTCACAGATCTCAACTCTGTGCACTATCCGAGTTTAACCAACTCTATAAATGATAGCAGATAGATTACCCTCTTATAATAATAATAGATAATAAATTATTATATAATGATGAGGGAACGAGAGACGGAGAGAGCTAAAGTGATTTGAAATGATTTTAGGCTATGTTTGATTTAAGGGATTTGAAATCTCTTGATTTTCAAATTTTTGAAATATAAATTTTTTTACTTACACATTCTTTTTCTTTGAATGGATGTGTTGAAAATATTATAGATAAATTGTCTACTTCGCACCGATGGTGTTGACTCGCGGTAGTGATGAACCTAAATGATTGCGGACGGCGTGGTCGTCAAACAGTGGATTTCAAATGACTAGGTTTAAGGAGTCATTTCAAATCTTTCAAAATAATGACTAAAAAATATGTAGCATGAATTTGAAATCTTCCAACTTCCATAATCATCTCAACATGCATGAACATTTGAACTTGTAAATTTGAAATCTATGGATTTCAAATCCCTTAGTAAATTCCTCAAAACAAACGGAGCCTTAAGTTATGTTTGGATAGAAGGATTTAGTGAGGGATTTGAAATATATAAATTTTAAATTTATTAGTTCAAATCCCCATGCATGTTGGGATGGTAATCGAAGTTAGAGAATTTCAAATTCATGTTAAATATTTTTTTGACATTATTTTGAAGGATTTTAAATGACACCTCAAACCTAGTCATTTGAAATCTACTATTTATCACCGTCCGTTGACGACCACGTCGTCCGCGATCATTTAGGTTCATCACCACCGCGAGTCAACACCGTCGGTGCAAGGTACACAATTGATTTATAATATTTTCAACACATATGATGTGGCATAGGACCATAGCTCAGTGAGGTAAAACGACGAAACTGGATTGGGAGGATAAGACCGGTGAAGTAGGAATTCATGGGCGTTGAGGAATCAGCTCGGCATATGCCTGGCTGCTATAACATGACCCCGTTAAGAGGAATAGTGAGGCTCGTCGGGGAATTCAACTCGGCAGGCTTGTGCGAATCTTCCGGAGCCTAAAGGCTACAGTGTGGGGGTTGTTCCGTGAGCAAGGCCGTCTCCAGAAATTTGGAGACCCCAAACAAGTTTGTCCTTTTTGAATTTCCAGATTTGAACTTGCGTGGTAATTAAGGCTATTTGTAGAATCATAGAAGAAAAAAAACCTAATTAAACAAGACTATTAAATAAATAAATAAGTAATTGAAAAAAAATCTTGTTTTTCTAGACCTTGGAATTGATATATTACCTATAGGTTACAAAGATCTTTAATAAATTACAGTCAAGCAGACAACAAGGAGAAGGAAATAAAAATCATATCACTCCAAAGAATATTTATTCTCACACAATTGTTCTAATCGAACATCATAAGAAAACAAATAAAAAATTTAGGGCCTCAATTCCCACACAAAGTACATATTTTGTCATTAACTCATTCATTAATTAGACACTTCATTTGTATAATGGGCCAAATCTATATTTAACCATGAGTCATTTAATATATGCAAATAGACCGAACCCAAACACAAAATACATAATATTGAAAAAAAAAAAAATAGGGCCCCAAATATATGGGGAGGCCCTAGGCATGGGCTTAGGCTGCCTCCCCAAAGAGTCGGCCCTGTCCGTGAGGTCGGCGAAACAAGCGATAGGGTCGAACTCGAATTAAGGTCGGCGAGTATTGAAGGATGTCATTATAGTTCGGGCTAATGAAATAGCCGAGGTCTGCAACTGGAGGATACTCGAGGTAATCGGTGTGAGGTTTGGACGTCATGACGTGGCAATTCCGTGTAATCAAGGGAGTCTGTTCCCTGGTGATCAGGAGAGTTGGGGGCAATGGGGATTTTCATGTTCTAGATAAGATAGACATTGTTGAGAGATGGATGCGCAAAGGATTTGGTAGAGATCTCTACAGACTCAACTACTGAAACTATATATATATATAGAGAGAGAGCAGTTTTTTCTACTTGACACGATAACACACATACACATAATAAACTTTGTCTCGCTATTCTACCGGTTTCTTTTAAATCCCTTACTGACTTAAGCGTCGGAGTATTCGCGCCGGGACCACCCCCGACGTGTTTTGCAGGTACCGGCGATTGGAGAGACATAATTCGGTTCGAAAAAAACGGTCAGTTCGGGACAATCTGACTTATCAAATTGGCGTCGTCTGTGGGAACAAATTCAACTTCTACTTGAATTAGGCGGTTGATTCTCTAAAACATAATAACAATAAGCGAGAGAAGAATCTGGGAACAACAATGGCATACAAACCAAAAAAGAATTTAACAAATGAGCTAGATGAGGCATGGGTTCAAAGGGCTTTTGGAGTTCGGCCGCCGCCGGGATGGTCGCAGTCAGTCGTTACACCAAGGGAGACGTTGCCAGCACCTAGTGCAACTTTAACTCTGGCACTAGAAGTGCAAGGGCAGGTGTCGAACCCAGGATTGAAAATCCTGATAGGATCAAGGAGCTCAACACTTTGACTGACGATGGAACTGGCCAGGTCGGCCAGGCATCTGGTGGTGGTGCGGGTCATGTGGGCTCACCGGATAATCGACAGATGGTCTTGGCAGAGGAGAACAATCCTCTAGAAAATCCCCCTCCAATGACAGGAGGAGATCAAACTTTGCACATGACCTGGGCGGAGCTGGACAGAATTATTGCCGAGGCGATAGGCCGAGCTCAGTTTGTCGATAGAAGAGTCTCCAACAAATTGATCAGGCAGTCCTTGCCTCAACAATTGTCTTTACTCCCATCTCAGGTTCAGCGTCGTCAGGGAGGCGAAGAGAATGATGATAGGTCGGTGACCTCTCGGCCTGTCGCAGCGGCACAACAGGAAGGACTGACTCTAGAGAGGTTGGCTTCTCAGATGCGCGAACTACAAGCTCGGGTGCAAGGAAAAAAACCGATAGTATCTCGCGGCCATCTTGTTGCGGAGGAAGTATTGGGAAGTGATTTGCCAAATAATTTCAGAGAATTGAGTTTATCCTATGACGGGTCGACAGATCCCGCGAGACACTTGAGGTCATTCGATAACAAAGCGGTGCTGCATAGGTATAGCGATGCGGTGAGTTGTCGGGCCTTTTTATCTACCTTAAAGGGGTCGACACAAGATTGATTTCATCAGTTGCCCACCTGGTTTCATTGACAGTTTTGAGAAGTTCACCTCTCTATTCTGAATCAATTTTCCAGTGCTAGGAAGCACGAGAAGACGTATTTGTCGTTAATTAGCATGCAACAGAAGGAGGGTGAATCTTTGCGACAGTATGTGGCACGTTATACCAAGGATGCCGAGACTCGTTGGCCAAGCGGCCGGCGAAGTCGTTCAACGATCTGAAAGGTACAGTAAGTATGTTAACATGGAGGAGGCAGAAGCAGATTTCATACAGAACGATCAGGTGAAAACAAAGCCGGTGGAGGACAAAGCTCGACAAAGCGAGCAACGAGCTCCCCAGAGGGAGTTCAGAATTGAGGACCGGTTCAAAGAGCCCATGTATGAGCACTATGAGCCGCTGAAGGCTCCCCAGCAGGAGATTTTTGAAGCAATGGAGCAACGGGGAGAAACTAAGTTGCTAGCACCACCTAAGCCCTTGCCCCTACCGCGAAAATTTTTGGCTGGGAAAGATAGGTATTGTCGGTATCACCGCAACTATGGCCATTCTACTAATTTTTGTCGTGAATTGAAAGGTGAAATTGAACGGCTTATTAGAGCTGGACACTTGAAGGAGTTTGTGATAAAGGATAAAGAGCGTCGTGATGAGCACCTCGAAGGGCGAGAGCTAGGCGAGAAATAAAAGAAAGTGGAGGATCCGTCAGATAGGCTAGTGAAGAAGGTATCATTCATATGATAGCAGGAGGCCCTACTGATGGTGATTCACACCAGTAAAATAAGAAGACCTACCGAGGAAAAGGAGCACTAGATGAGGTGGTCGAGGTGAAAGTGCAGGTGAGCTCGGCCACTTTGAAGTTCGGTGTTGAGGATGTACATGGTATTGTGGTTCCGCACAATGATGCTTTAGTTATTACGGCGGAGGTAGCCAGTTATGATGTACAGAGGGTGCTTATAGATACAGAAAGCTCGGTGGATATCATTTTCTGAAAGTGCTTGCAGCAGATGGAGTTGGAAGTAAAAATGGAACCTGTACGTACTTCCCTATATGGTTTTGGTTCTAATGAGGTCCAACCATGGGGGAGGTGAGCCTAACTGTAGCTCTGGGCCGGGCTCCCACGAGGAAGGTGAAAATGGTTAGGTTTTGGTTGTTAACGTCAGCTCGGCGTATATAATTTTGGGGCGGCCTAGTTTGAACACGTTCCAAGCGGCTGTCTCAACATGGTGTATGAAAATCAAGTTCCCAGTCGGAAATGAGGTTGGGGAGGTCACGTGAGACCAATTACAATCCCGTCGATGTTACGAGGTCACGTTAAACACAGTTGAGGCACAAAATAAGAAGAGAAAGCCGGATGACCACCCTGAGTCATCACATGGAAGGAGTCATGAGTTGTGAATGGGTTCCCAGGATGAATTGATGGAGGTTGAGCTAATTGAGGGGAGGCCTACAACGATGACTAAGGTAGGCCAGCATGTGGCCGAGAGCACACGGGGCGAGCTGATAACACTGTTGAGGGAATTTGTGGATGTGTTTGCCTTCTCGACGGACGACCTCACAGGCATCAATCCAGAGGTGGCTGAACACAGGTTGAATATCGATCCAACGATGAAGTAAGTTAAGCAGAAAGAGCAACATTTTGGTGTCGAGCTAGACGCAGTGATCGAGGCTGAGGTGGAGAAGCTGTTAAAGGCAAGGCACATGCAGCCCATACAATTTCCAGAATGGTTGTCGAATTCGGTCATTGTACGCAAGGGTGAGGGAAAATGGGGAATGTGTATAGACTTCAGGGACCTCAACAAGGCTTGCCCTAAGAACCATTACCCTTTGCCGTGGATAGATCAGCTAGTTGATTCCACAAAAGAATATGAGTTGCTAAGCATGATGGATGCTTCGCAGGGGTACCATCAGATTCCTCTTGCAGAAGAAGATCAAAAGAGGGTTAGCTTGGTTACGTCCAAAGGTACCTACTGCTACGTGAG